TTCATCAGTAGTGCCTTCCTAGCACACATACAGACAGAAACAAGAGACAAGACGTAGGATTCATCAGTAGTGCCTTCCTAGCACACATACAGACAGAAACAAGAGACAAGACGTAGGATTCATCAGTAGTGCCTTCCTAGCACACATACAGACAGAAACAAGAGAGGGAAAGAAAAGTAGTAGACCTACCAGTGACACCCACAGAGACTGAATCAACAGAGGGAGAGAAAAGAAGTAGGACTTCCAGTGGGGGCCTCCAACAATCCACTAGTTTATGAGGGGAGTTCAATAAGTCTTTACCCACAGAGAAACAAGCTAGAAAGTTGAAGCCTGACCTTCGCAATGCTACTTTTCCACACAGTCGACCTGCCATTTGACAGTTTTGACATTTTTGTTTGTCCTTTAAAAGTCCTTGGGCATAAATGACATTGGATGGGACTCAAACCATTCCTCCACTGCAGAAAATCTTCATCACTATGGAAATACTGTTCTTTGAGACATTTTTTTCAGATTTGGGAAAAGGAAAAAGTGAGAGGGTGAATAGGGTGGGTGGGTGGAGGAGAATTAAGGAGCCACATTGCTTGGCTGTCTAAGTGGTCGTCACCGCTTTGAACACTGGGGCATTGTCCTGCAGCAGGAGAAGTCTTTGTCACAGCTTCCTTCGCATTCAAGAACTACCTTCACAAGGATGCTCTTAAGTTTAAACCACTCATCCAAATGTTTCAAGACTCCACATGCAGCATTAAAACAAAAACAAACCACATTCTGTAAGTTCCAGTGTCTCACAATAGTTCCTTCATAGTAAACAAAACTATTGAGATTCAGGCGACTATCTCTCACTTTAAGTAAGAAAGAAAATGTTTGAATGCTACATCTTCCCCATATTCCAACATGGCGCAATACGGCGCAGAGACCTGGACTTTGACAAGGAAAGAAGAAAACAAAATAAATGTGTTTGAGATGTGGTGCTACCGTAGAATGGCCAGAATAACAAAGAGGTGTGTCAGATTCTACATACAAGACAGACCCTGCTGAGCACAAATAAATTGTTTAAAAAATACAATATTATGGCCATTTAAAAAGACACGAGACCATTGTGAAAGAGGTGTTTGAAGGAAAGATGTGGGGCAGGAGAGCTAGAGGAAGGCAAAGAATAACATGGATGGACAACATAAGAACATGGACTGGCCTGGATATGGCAGAATGTGCAACGGCAGCTTGCGAGCGTGGAAGATGGAGGGTGATTACATGTGAACCTCTGAGTCAGAGATGACGCCTCCAGGCCCAGGTCCAGTCAGGGTACAGACATATTGTACGCCCCTAGTTGAAGCAGTCAGGGTACAGA